ACAGTGCACATGCAGATCTGATGCCATCAAGAAGCACTGAGGATGGGATGATTCTGTACCCACTGCTGATCTTGAAGGGCCCAGTATGATCGAATCTTGGCTTTGCCCAGGTTCAAACGATATGTCCAAAACTCAAAACCATTAGCCCAGCCACTGAGTCCTTGTCCGGGTACAGCAAGTCTGATTTCCCAGCTTTGTGAAGTGTCGAGAATATTTCATGCGGTAATAACAGGTGATGATTCACAGTCCGTGTTGTCCGGCCGTGGGAGTTGGCATTGACCTGAGGTAATTCCATGCCCCACGACATCAAGATCTGCAGTCACTCGATCAGCAACACATACAAGCTCATATTGCAGATGAGAGGCAGCCTCAAGTTGAAGCCTAGCTCGAGATCATCGTGATGGATGTGCATGATGCTGCAAACACTCAAGAGTTTTCCTAGATCGAAGTGCAGCGGGGATTCGGAAACGATTTGGGAAGGGCTTTGCGAAATGGCTGGCGATCGAACCACCTTTCTAGTAGTCTCATGGCGCCCCATGCGTTCGGGTTCTCGTGTCGGAAGCTGACAGCCAAGTCCAGAACATCAGGCCTGATGCCAACGATTGTTTGAGCCTGGTGCGACCACAACCTCACACACTATTGAATAAAATTGCATACAAGTATCGGAACCATGCTGTGTGGTAGCCCATGAACTCGCCGTAGGGATTCGGCCAGTTCGGCCAGGGGTATCTGCATAACTAGAGAACATAAACACCATTACACAGCAGCAAGCAAATTACACTCGAGCTGGAGGGTTCTATGACTGGTTTGCCGTGGCCGCCTGTCCATCGGACAAAAGACGAAGGACTTGGTCACAATTATCTTGCACATAGGATCGCAGCCATGCAGCATGATCGGCAGTTGACGTGGCCATTCATGTCAAGTTTCAGGGAATCTGGGCATTTGACATGGCACAGGCTTATACAAATTAAAGATTATAGATGTTCGGGAGTCTAAATTTAAGAGCTCACATCTCTACTGGTTTGAAGGACAAGTCTAGAAATCCTGATCTACTACCTGTATACAGTCTAGTCTAAGACGATGTTCAGGGCTTAGGTTTAGGGCTTATAGGGTCGTTAAGGGGTTTGGGCTTGAAGTTTTCGAAGTTAGGGTCCCTAGGGTTGGGGCTTCAGGTTTCTAGATTGGGTGGAAACTTGCACACACTACCACTTCGGCTATATTAAGGCTTATATATTAAACTAGAAAAACCGGTCTGTGGTAGCCTCGACCAGCCCTTACACTTGGAATCGGCACCCTCCAGGATTTCAGGGTTCATGGCTTATTCGGGGTGTTCTTCAGTCACATGTAGGTGCAGATTGGTCCTGAATCAACGGCACACGACAACCCAAGCAACGATCCAAGGCACTGATATGATCGAGCTCAACCCTGGATGACTGGATGCTGGGCTGCGGCGATCTACGTGGAGGCAGCCCTTTTCATGGTTCCATGGTCCCGCTTCTTCAGCAGGTTGACACTTTGCTGCACATGCTATGCAGAGCCAGTCGAGTGACCCAAAGCGACCCCCGTTTTAGATTCTAGATCCAAGGCGAGGCTACATGCATAGCTACTGCCAGCGTATACAGACGGGATCTAAAATCTCGGCACTCTGAAGGCTAGGCTGCACAAATGCAGACCCTACGAAGACTTAAAAGACAGCGCTCACGGCTTTGCTCGTTTCGCTGCCGGCTCCGTAGCTTCACCATCATCTGGCCACTCATCATTATCCTCCTCATTACCTGGCTCATCATGATCCTCACCCATGTAGTACTCGTCTCCGTCCACCTCCATTCTTGTCGCGGCCTGATCTGGCTTCTCCTTTTTTTTCTGCTCTTCTTTCTCCCGTTTGCGCTTCTCGGTTGCGATGCCTTGCGTGAGCAAACACCGAAACCAAAACGACAAACAACAACATAACAAACACACTCATCACAAAGCCAAGCTCCAATACATTAGATGCAGAGATAATGCGGCGTTGGTGGGCCACCCAGATATCATCGCCCTCTGTGATGGTCGCTTGGTATCCCTGAGCAACGAGTTTAGATGCATTGTTTATAATAGATGATCTATAATCGTAGCACCAATTGAGATTAGATCTTGCCTTCAGAGCAGCCTTGTAGCCCTCCAGCTTCTGCACACAGTCCGTCTGGCTGTAGCAGTCGAACACCATCTTTTGGACCCTGAACTGAGCGACGACCCCGATGGCTCCGACTAAAGACCGATCTTAACTTGTGTAGTTTGAAGACGAGCAGCTCTGCGTGAATCCTCAGGCATTCGGTGGAGACCACTCCCAGCTTGCCGATCAGTTTCTGCAGGGACTTATATAATTTGTGGGTTGAATACTCCAGGGTCTAATCTAATTAGGGTGGGCCTATCTGCTGTTATACGTGCATGGTGCACGAAACACGACAAGGGTCCTGCTGGCTCTCCAACCCAGCCCCGGTCAGGCTGGATGCTACACTGACCGCCTTATCCGATAGGGTCCGCACCCTTGGCTGCACATGGTTTGGGAATGGCTGTGGGGTACATTAATGTGGGTTTAGTTTTTTGTTGAGAGTTTATAGGGCTTCGAGTTTATAAGGGTTTGGGAGTTTGGGGTCCTTTAAACTTGGCGAGCGGAAGTGCGAGTTCGGAAGGCTTTGGGGTCTAGGGTTCAGTGGCTTGTATACAGCTATAGAGGCTTATATCTTGGGGCTCGGAGTTTTGTTTGATTGCATACTAATAATAGGCTTTGCCCGGCCGCGCAGTCAGGTCCTTCTGGAAGTCCCGCTTTTCCTTTTCTTCCGGCGTAGGCTCCTGCATTAAGGCAATGCTTTTAAACTACAGCTATGTGATGTACTGTCGACTGATGAATGCATCCTTCTTCTCTTTCTTCTCCTTTTTTTCTTTCTTCTCTTTCCCATCCATGGCACTCTTGCCAATCTTGCCCATGCCCCCGACCCTGCCCTCCACGACTTCTGCAACCGCTTGTCTCTCGGCTTTGTTGCCGGAGAGCTGCTGCGAAGCCACAACCCGGCTCCCCACCCGTTGCACCGATGCACCTGGGATAAGAGCTGCAGAGGCTTCCTACAGGATATATTTGAGTGAAACCCACATGATGCTAATTTTATATAGTACAGGGACATGCAGCCAAGATGCTGGAAATTTCCAGTTCTTTGAACACACGATAGATCCTCCAGTTCGGGTCCGATGTCTGAGGATGTCTCTTGCCAGTCTGACCTCGGGTACATGAATATAACAAGAATATAGTATTCCGATAAAGTGTGCAACCGAAGTCTGAGACTCCAGCTGGACTGAATGTCCTTGACAAACTGCTCTCCTCCAGGTAGGCTTCCCCATTTCTGGATAATCTCGCATAGAGGGAGCTCGATGAACTTCTCTTTGTCTTTGGACTCGCTCATCCTGATCGCTGTCAATTGAGTCCCACATATCTGCACATTTTGCATAGAAGCACCCAACAAATCATATGCAGGCAAAGCTCTCTTCGTAGAAAGCATCAACTTGGATGCTTCCCATATCCCTGTCCAGCAAGAATGCCTTCAAAAAGGCAAACCTGGCCGTTCTTTTGTCGCATCTAATTATATATTATGGGAATATCTTTTAACCTTAAGGCCCCATCACATGCATCCGAGGACGGAGCTTCTCCATGGGACTGGAGGCAGCGTTCCACTGCTGCACCAGGCCTTTCTTTAGTCCTGTCGGGGTTGGGGTTGTCAAGTCTAGGGTTTAGGGTAGGGCAGGTTAGGTTCAGTTGTTGCAAATGCAGTCAATGGCTCCTCTGCCGTTGTTCATGCGACGCCGCAGGCCCTCGTTGAGCCTGACACGGGTCCAAAGTAGAGTTCGGAGCATGTATAAGCTTTAGGCTTTACGGGTTTTAGGGTTTAGTTTATGTTTAGGGGCTTAAGATTTAAGCTTTATAAACATCCGACCAGGGCCTCTTTCGCTCTTGCAGATCAATGTCTTCCGGGCCACTGAGCGCCTCAGCACGTATATCACTGTGTACGGTACAGATGAGTATCTGATAAGTTTGTATATACTATTGTACTACTACTCCCTGAAACAGTAGAGGCGGCGAGAATAGATCAAGAGAGTTAAAGAGAGTTTACTGGGATGCAGGATCTACAAAGACACAGGACAGCCTATGTTCATGCTCAGTAGTTTTAAAACACTAATACTTATTCGAAACCTTACACCCGAAAACGTAGTACATAGCATTATAGATCATACGGAATATGGCACATGTACTATATAATGTGTGTTATGTGAATTGTGTATATACGTACATGTATCATACACGTTTGCAGGGATGCTGCCTGTTGATTTGACAATCTAGAGGTTTTGTGGTCGTGCCGGGCGCTTGTCTGGGTTATGCAAGTTGCCCGGGTAGCAAGGATCGTTTTGAGCATTTTAGCTTTTAAGGTCTATAGGATCTCGGTCTAGGCATTCAGGCCCTTGACAGCCTAAGGATTTATAACAGCCTGAAAGAGTTTAGGGTTTATATAGGTTTCAGGGTTCATATAAGTCTAAGACGTGAGTTCAGGGTTTACTGAGTCTAACTTGTATAGTGTGCAGTATCATAGATGCAGGAAAGCTGCTTCAATGGCGGCCTTCTCCTCGCCCGTCAATCTTCGCACCTGGGGCTTGAATGTTGCACTGCAGCCAACCACTGTAGGTTAAATGCTAACTTTCGAATCCAAGAAGCATCATTGGGGCTACCATTGAATGTAAACTTCTTGCTGAGCGGTTCGATCTCCATGGGTCCAGTACCATCGCTGCTTTGGGAGATTCCGGTATCACTTCGAGTGACCCTTAGACATGCAGGTGTCATTTTGTGAGAAGGGTATCGCATGCACACACACACACACTTGATTATGTATTGCATGTCCATGCATGGTTGGGTACTTTATGAAAGCCAAGGCTCGGATGTCCATGTGACGGGGTTCCTATCGGGATTGATCTATAAGTTCGTTAAATCTGTGGCGCTTTCACATACATATAGATATATATATAGAGAGAGAGAGATCTAGATATCAGACACCGGATATATTTCTTGCGCAACTAGTCCTGTAGTCGTACTCGCGTCGTCTGCCCACGAAAGCTTTCGGGCCACGGGCTCTGCTTCGTCGCCTTGAGATGTCGTGGCGCTTCGTAACTTAAGCTGTCTTGTCCGGGCCCCCCTTTTGAACCGTCCGTGCCTGGCTCCTCTTTTGTGACGTTGTCCTGGGGGCTGTCTGCACCTTTTCCTGGCGACTCCTTGCCTTTCTTGCCCTTACCTTTGGTGGTAGTCTTGTGGTCTTGGGTGATGGAGGTGCCCGTGGATCCTTTCGATTCCTCGGCCTTGCTTTCCTCTCCCGAGTTGCCCTTCTGGTGTTGGGTGACGGGGGTGCCCTTTCCTGGCGATTTCTCGCCCTTGCTTTCCTTTCCCTTGGGGCTGCCTTTTTTGCCGGGTTTGCCCTTTCCTTTTGTGTCCTTGCCCGTGCTTTCCTTTCCCTCGGAGCTGCCCTTTATGTCCTGGGTTGGTTTGCCCTTTCCTGGCGAGTCATCACCCTTGCCTTCCTTGGAGTTGTCATCGTCGTCCTGGGTGCTGTCTGCGCCCTTGGATCCTTTCGAATCCTGGCCCTTCTTTCCCTTGGACCCCTTCTTTCCATTTCCCTTGCAGCTGTCCTGGTCCTTGGCAGTGGGTTTTTTTTGGGTGCTCTCTGCAGGCGGTGAGCCCTTGCCAGTCTTTCCCTTGGAGCCGTGCTGCTCCTTGGCAGTAGTGGTGTCGTGGGTGACGTCAGGCCCCTTTCCTTGTGGCGAGTCCTTGCCTTTCTTTTCCTTAGCCCCTTTGGTTTTCTTGCCCTTGGCATCCATTTCAGTAGTGGTGTCCGGCGTGGCCTTGCCTTTCTTACCTTTGGCATGCCCTTTAGTGTGCTCGGGTTCTGTGGCGGCCTTTCCCTTGGATCCTTTCCCTTTCTGGGTCCCTTTCTCTTTGTGTTGCTGCTGCGTGTCAGGGCCGGCACTGCTTGGCTGGGTTTGGGGGGGGGCCTGGGTCTTCTCTCCCTTCCCTGTCTTTGGCTCGCCCACACTGGTGTCCTCAGCGGGGGCTTTGCCTTCGTACACGTAGCTGCGGGGACTCGTCTCTATATAGAGGTGACCATCATCTTTGATCTTTCCTTTCTTTCCTTTCTTTCCTCCACCTTTAGTAGAGGCCATGGAGCCGAAGCTTGTCGGCCAAAGCTTGAGCCGTTGAGCCTGAATTTATAAGGTGGATTAGGGGCAACCCTCTATTTAAAGTCGATTATAACTACGGCTAGTCTGTGAGATATTTGGATAGATCTGGCCATAGGGATACACGCAGATACACGCAAAAGGCTTCTCTATAAGGTCGAATACACGCAGATACACGCTGATACACGGTCCCGGTGGTTACGGTAGCTTTTCCGGAACTCCGCGTCACGGGGCTGTTCTGCGTCAGCACCAAAACTATTGCCGGCTGCAAGCGTATCTTCGGATCCGGGATATATGCATATATGCAAAGCTGCTTCGTGAAGAACCTAACTAATATTGTGTCGGGCTTTTGTGTCTATCATTATAGATAGCATCGATCCTGATTTCCTTGCAACCGTTGATCTAGACTGGGAGCACTGACCCCAATCTCGAAGTGCCCCCTCCCATACACCACTTAGTTCTCCCGCGGGGCACCGATCACACCTTCAAGACCTGAGTCATCATCTGAGGAATGGCCGC